CAGGATCAATAGCTTCTCATGGATCAATATAGATTCAACACAATCTAGAAAAAACAAGATGCAGGAAATTAAATCTACTGAAGCCATTAAAGAAAAATTAAGAAAGAGGGAGGGGCAGATTGATTGACCGGAGGAAGAAGGAGAGATTTATGATTCACAAACATTCAGATTCATACACACATACATGAAAGTCTACTATTGTCCCTTCCCTTCTGATAAACTCATCGCCTCCTTTGCTTATAGTTCATCAAAAGAGAATGCATCGATTTAAACTCATCCACCTCCCCTTCATCTCTTCTAAAACCTGCAACTCTATAGAAATAACTTACAACCTTAGCGGTGTCGTCAATTCAACAACCTCATCGCCATATTCTCGATCAGATTTGCACTCGAGCACAACACCACTGTGTAGATTCAAAGCTAAAGGGTTTCCCCAAGTTATTCATCTCTTATGGGTCACTAGTGGAGGACCGATGGTGAGTGGTGGCGGAACCCATCTCGATCGTCTTCCCCAGACAAAACCAACCTCTTCAAGTGAGCAAACTCACTAATGCTATTGTTCATCGTCTTCTTCACCTTCTTTACCCATCTTGATCAACAACCATCACAACTATTTCACTATTTTAGAGTATTATGGGTTCTTTAGATTGATTGAAGAGGTTTCCGACATCAGATCAACACAATGGATTCTCCGTTCGAAGGAGAGAAGTGGAATGGACTGTTCTAGCGATAAAATTGGACACATACAAGAACAATAGAGGGAAATTCTTAAGGGGGTTTTGAAATTGTGGGATTTTGTGGTCTAGGTTTTATGTTGATCATTTATGACTTTGGATGAAATCTTCAAAAATCATGGAATTACATGATTATAAGATATTGTTTGTGGTTGATGAAGAGCATTGTTTAATTCTCTGTGTGAGTGTGTGTTTCCCTCAAAAGTGTAGGTTTCCTGTCGAGAGAGAGAGAGATGTGGGCCCAAATTAATTATTTATTTTCTTTTTCATTTAAATTAAATAGAAAAAACATAAAAAAATATATCAGAAGGGCATTACAGTCATTTCAATTTTACGAGGGACCAAATCTACGTACAAACATGGCCAAAAGGACCACGAAGCCAAAAAAGTCGGGGGTTTGAACTAAAACCCCAAAAAAATACATACCACAGGGACCATATTTGCAGTTTTGTCTTTATAGAAATATGAATGATATTATCCCAAATATGAAGCAAAATTATTTATTTATCCAAAAATAGAAATAAAGTTTCGGTTGTCGATTTTAGTCAATTTTTTTTTATTTTTCGACATTACTAGTTTATTTCTATCTATTAGTTGTAAGTTTAATGTAATATTTAATATTTTGTAATATCCTAATAACTATTTAATTATATTAATTTATCATAAATGTAAAGTTTTTTTTAAAACCGAAATCATATTTCATAAAAACATATAATTAAAATATATCTTACAAGTATGATAAAGTATGCTACTGAACATGCAGTTAACATATATATTATAATAACAATCTAATAAAAAGCGAGGATCATCTTGTTCTAGGCAAAAGGAAATATTACATGACATAATGATTACGAACATTTATTTTGTTATAACTTTCTAATTATATATTTTATAATATTATTGTAATAAAAAATATTATATATTTGTTAAAAACTAATTAGTAGAATAGTGTGTAGTTACAAGAATAGAATATAGTGGAAATATATATTTTTTGGGATAAAAATAAGATAAAGAATAGAATAGGGTTGAAGATAACATCTATCCTATTTTTTATTCTATTTTTTGGTGAAAAAATGAAATGGGTTGGAGATTATCTTAGGTGAGAATTAAAAGTTATAAGTGTAAATAGACAAGGTTTTGAAATAATGGTATAAAATGTAGTTCTTCTAAAAATTCAGGGACTTATACGGAATATCTAGACTAACCATGCCAAATAAAGTCAATGACGGTAGAAAAAAGCAAAGGGCCCGGGAAAATAAAGGGTAAGATCCAAATAATCCACAAAATATGACCGGCCCCTCCTCCATTTGTAAACGTGTCACGTTTCCCCAGTAGTTATAATTAATAAACCCCTAAAAAATTTACTTCTTTTTTTTTGGTAAATTAATGTAAGCAGATTTATTTGCAGAATACTTTTATGCAACAACAACAAAATTATTATAACTTTTTTTCTTTAAGAGTGATTTCTTGTATTTTAACTTTATATATATATATATATATATATATATATATATATATATATATATATATATATATATATATCACTATTCCAATGTAAAATCAATTGTTATGGTTTTACCTTTAAGTTGAAATTAAGATATATTATTAAGTTTATACAAATACAATAGTTCAATTAAAAATTAACCTAAATATGATCAGATTATATACATTTAACCAAAAAGATAAAAGTTAAACGACAACTCACTTGGTACTAGTTTTTTTAACTTTTTTTTAGCATAACTTAAAAAATGATGTTGAAAAATAGTTCATTTTTAGATAATAGGCACATTTGCTTTTATTAATTGTTGGTCATAACATATTTGTAAGTAAATACAGCTATAAATGATATTTTCTATAGATTTTTTTTTAATTTTTATTATTTTCAAACTTCACTAACCAAATAAAAACATAAAACAAAAATGGTTTTATTCTATAAAGTTATCTTAAAAACTTTTCTCTCTAGCCAAATTTATTACATAGCTTTAGTTTTAATTTATTTTCTTTATTATACACTAGACTGCTAACGATATTACATTTTTATAACCTATTTATAAAAAAAAATAGGGTAATATTGTTGTTTAATTTAAATTCATTGTTTATTGGTTAGTATTACTATATACTATTAGTGGTAGGTTTATTTTTTTCATCATATGTTTTTTTTTTAAATAAACGTTGTATTAGGTTATATTGCATTTAACTTCTGTCGTATAAATATGTTATTGATTTTTTCTTTAAATTTTAGATATCTCAAAATAAACATGATTTTATTTTCAAATAAGAACTTTAGCTATTTTGAGTCGTTGGCCCTCAAAAACACAACTTATAAAAGAAGTGAACAAAAAAAGAAGTGTCCCGCCGACCCATCTTCAACTTCAAAAATAGTCACCGTCAAAAGTTGAAATATTTATGGTATATTTTATTAAATTAAAATATTTTTTATTTTATTTTTTGATGACTACGAGCATGATCAAGTATTCGATAATGATTCATCCATTTTAATAATTCCATTGTATCAAAATTTGATTTGTATCAAAATTTGCTAATCAAATTAGATATAATGAACTTGCTGCTTTTTTTTTTGGTAATTTTGATTTCATTGGCCATTTTAGGTAATTGAAATAAACACAAATGTCTAATACAGATGTAAATTATGATCTTGTACATTTGTATATTAACGGTGAACGAAATATGGTGGTGAAGTTGTGGATAGAAATAAACCTAAAACTTCACATAAATCTTACATTGTTTGCAAACCCTATTTTTTGTAACAGTTTTATAAAGGGATAATGACTTGAAAGGGTAACGAACTTTCGACTTTGTTCACATTTAATCACTAAATTTTTTTTCGTTATCTATTTGCCATTGAACTATTGAAACTGTTCACATTTTACCATTATGACCGGCTGTTACCGGTCATAAGGGTAAAATGTGAACAGTTTCAATAGTTTAGTGACAAATAGATAACGAAAAAAAGTTTAATGACTAAATGTGAACAAAATCGAAAGTTCGTTTCCCTCTAAAAAGTTCAATGACTAAATGTGAACAAATTTCCTCTTGTATTATGTTTTAGCAAATTATTTATTTTTGTTAAATTGTAGCAACATTTGTTGATAAAGAAATCTATGAAATAAAAAAAAACAAAACCCTGAAAATATATTTAAAAAAAATAAAAAATCGAAACCGAAATAAAAACCAATGGTTTGACATTTTCCAAAATAAAAAATCAAAATTTCCAATCTGATTTTGGTTTTACAAAAAAATGAACCATGTCACTGATGTGAATTATGACCATTGGTTTGGCATGCGGAATTAAAGAACACGGTGATTTGGGTGTTTAAGAGATGCATTCGATTATGAAAGGTGTTTACAAAAAAGGATCTAGATCTAAATCTACATAATTAACACACACTAACATTCTCAATGTTACATCTCTCAAGCACACCTCTACATGTGGTATGAAACCACCTTACATAAAAGTATTTACATGTCTATCTCTCTCTATCTCTCATGTCATAAAGGGGGAGTTTTGGATTAAAAATTCTGAATTGAGCGCTTTCTCATTCCCTTTTTGGTTTTATAATCATTTGTCTATTATAAAAAGGGGGAGAGATTTAGATATGGAAATCCGAAAGTTGAATTTTTTAGAGGGAGGGATTTAGATACAAGAGGAAGTTTGTTCACATTTAGTCATTGAACTTTTTAGAGGGAAACGAACTTTCGATTTTTGTTCACATTTAGTCACTAAATTTTTTTTCGTTATCTAATTGCCAGTAAACTATTGAAACTGTTCACATTTTTACCCTTATGACCGGTAACAGCCGGTCATAAGGGTAAAATGTGAACAGTTTCAATAGTTCAATGCAAATATATAACGAAAAAAAATTTAGTGACTAAATGTGAACAAAGTCGAAAGTTCGTTACTCTCTCAAGTCATTATCCAAATAAATAAAATTAAGCTGTGTAACTATTTATACACAAAAATTGATGAAAAATATGTCATCGTTATATTATATGAATTAAATTGAGTGAATTTTATTAAAGTAAAGTTGAAATATCTTTATTAAAAGTTTTGAATTTTGTTACGTGACGGTGCGAGAATACAAATTAAAGTCTCCGTTAACTGCCAACAGTGGAAAGTAAAATCAGCCACCAAATACTCGTCACGCAGTTTTACATGTATCTTGTGTATTACCAGTTGTACGTTAGTTCCCCCTTCAACCATAGTTAACTTCTCTCTTCTATATATGCTTCCCTTCACCGATACTCATCTCTCTCTGTGTATATATTAATATATATATGGGTCTGTGTGTGTGAGACTGAGGACTCTGTATCTTATAAAACAAGAGACAACAGTTCCAAGCAATCTCTCTATCTCTTTATCTCTTTCTCTTCCCCTATAAATTAGGAGGGAGAGAAAGACGATCGAAAAGGACCAGTACTGGCCTGGTTAAGGAGTTTTGTACCCAGTCAACTCAGAAGAGGAAATCGGAAGAAGAAGCGGAAGCAGAAGCTTATGAATTGGTTGCAGAAGATGGTTTTTCCTGTAAGACGTGTTTGGATTGCCGTTGCTGCGCGTGTAAAGTCCCGTAACAATGGTTAGTCTCTCTCTCTCTCTCTCCGTTTATGTGTTTTTGTACGATCTGATTTCTGTAACGGATTTACTAATCAAGTGATTTTTTGGATTGCGATAAGTATTTGGACTTCAGATTTTTGTCAAATGGAAGAATATTTGAGTATCTTAATTTCGAAAACACAATGAATTTCGTTGAAATAGATTTTGAGTTTTTAAAATATAACCGACGCTCATATATTTATGGTTGTATAATCATTTTGATAATTACTGATCGAGCAAATTATAGGGTTACGATTAGTTTTTCTTTGCCAGAACGGAAGAAAATCGAGTCTATGAAGTGAAAACTCATTTTGATTTTGAATACGACGTTCAAGAGTTTATGGTTCTGTAATTTCTAAAATTATTATGTTATAATTCATTGATCAAACTATTTGTGAGACTGAGAAGTATTTGAACTTCAAAATTTTGCCCAATGAATTTCGATGTTCGTAAAATTAATTTTGATTTTGAAAATTTAAGCGATGTTCAAGGATTTAATTCATTTATCGAGCGATTTATAAGATCGTGACAAGTATCTGAACTTGAATTTTATCAAATATTTTAACACAATTCTGATCTGAAAAATCCCATCGGTGCTTTTGGATTTTAGTTGTGACATAAATTCATTCCAGATTTATGATTTGAAATGATATTTAATTTTAATATATTGAAATAGTTGAATATAGTTATTGATGGAGAATAGAGGCTCGTGATTGCGTTGAAGGCATACACTTTTCCGATGAAAACTTTAATGCGTGTCTACGTGCTTTAATGGTGGTTTCTTTTGCTATCATAAATTCATAATCATATTCAAATTGGATTTCCCTTTCCCTTCCATTTCTTTTTCTTTTTTGGAAAATGAAAACCAAATTGTTCTTGAATGCTCTAAAACTTTACCCAAATAAAAGGAAGAGAGATGGTCTGCATTTTGTATACATTCTTAAATTAAAGTTATTTATTATATTTTGTAATTTCCTTTTTGTCTAAAAATATAGTTTAATAGAATAATTTGATCATTTGGATTAAAGCAATGTATTTTTTGTATCTTATGAATGATTAAACGTGTCGATAAGCAAATATTAAAATAAGCCTATATCTAAAAATATTATATATATATTCTAAAACATCTAAAACAAATATTCTTACATTATTCTGATAACAAGACAAGGTAGTTTTATTCAAAATCACAAATCAAATCGCTATATTGAATTGAGCATTTTTTTCATTTCTTTTTTGTATTTTTGTCTTTGGCTAATTTTCATGGTGCATATTTTGGTAGAAAAAAAAAGAAAAAGAATTGAAGAATTATATGGTTGGACAAAGGTCACCTTTTTCCAGAAGCGGAATACAAGATTATTCTTTGAAAACTATTCTTGTTTTCATGTGAGAGTTTTAATTATTTTAATATATTTATCCATCATTTAATTCTAATTAAAGAAAACAGCTTTTTGAGTGCTCATCATATTGTATATAAAATATGTTTTAATTTAACAATAAAAAAAAAGTAATATTGTCAACAAAAAATTAAGGAGTAGAAGCTAATAATGTTTATTTTTTAATATTTCCTTCCCATTTTAGAGAAAAAGATGTACGTATTGTTTTACCCTCGAATCCAATTCGTTTTGACATTCTGATAAACAGTGATGTAACAGTGACATCTTTTTATATGTGAAGATAGTTCTGTAAAAATAAAAGGATTCACTCTCAAATCATATCCTAAAATGATAAGGTTGAATGTAATTAGTGGCTATTAATAACAACTAATATCCTGAAAAACATTTCTTTATCTATAAAATATCTACAAAGATTCCCATTAACGATTCGCACTCATACTACCGATTTGCTGACTTGTAACTACACTACTAACTAACAACCATTTTCGATGCCCTCACCTAACCTTACCTTCATAACACTCGCATACAATTAATTAATCTTTCATTATTATTATTATTATTTTTATTTTTGAAAGTTTGAGAAAATCAAATAGAAAAAGAAAGACCACTTACAAAAAAATGTCTTTTGTGTTGACCAGGTGGTGGGCTATTGAAGCTACACGATGACATACAAACATGTGGATACGAGGATGTACAAGTGATGTGGGAGATGCTTCATAGAACAGAATCAGAGTTAACATCAAACAGTCGTCGAAAGCGCAAGCCTAGATCCTTCTGGAAAATCTTCATATGGCAAAACAACAATACTTGCTCTTCACCTTTCTCCATAGACCATGCTTAATTAACAACATCAAAGTCGGTGTCTCCTTACTACCTGCAACAAAATATGCAAGGAAAAAAAAACGTACAAGTACGTCGATATAATTAGTATGACTTTGATATGTATCTCGATAGGCTATTGTGATTCGAGTGACAAAACTCCATAATAGCCAAGTCGTTTTTTGTAAATATATCATGTCTTTTTTTTCAAGATCCAAATCAAGTCATACATAAGAAAAAACATTACTTGAATAAACCGATGTCTTACTCTTTAATGGAAATATGGAATCACTTTTGTTGTTGCCAATTGCCAAATGCCAAATATGTTCTTGTTTAAACTCCACGCACCATAACAAGCTTGATTAACAATAACTTAAAAGGAGATCAAGTTGTTTGAATTTGATATTTAAATCAATTAGTGATGAAAATACACATACAAGAAACCTCGGAGGACAAATTATTCCTTCAAAACTGTTCTAAATTAAGCGATTGATTAAATTACACACAATGCTAATCATACAACATAGCAACCAAATGATATATAAAAAAACATAGATCACAAATTTATATCATTCCTCAAAAGCCCGCGGCATATCTTCTCGAGCAATAAAGGCCAATCTTCACCAAGCCGCCGAGGGTTAATCTCCATGGCAACCCTAAAGTCTAACAAAGATATCGGGCTGATCTTAACGGGCTCATGACCTAAACGGGGCCCATTATGTTCAAAACATGACCGTATCAAACCCTTCAAATAAACATCCAATCCGTTATTCATCGCGTTGGCGCAATCCACTGTAACCCCTTGAAGGCCTTGTGTTGCGGCAATAGGCTCCATGTGTGCCCTCAATGTTATTGTATCTAACAAGCAGTTGGTGTATGAGACACCAACATATTTAGTAGGTGGGGTCTTGCGGGCCCCACCTATACTGACCGGACAGTAAGGAATTCCAAGTGGTGCATGTAGTGGAATCCTACCGGAAACCACTTCATGTTGTGGTCGATTGATGACTTCTTGATGATGTTGCACGGGCTTTCGAGTATCAATGGGTGATGAGGGGGAAGAATAATTTGTCTTTCCATTTGGCTTGAGAGCACTTCTTCGGGCTCCTGTCCTTATCGTTCGTTGTGTTGGTGACAAAATGTCTCCATTTGGGAGAGCAAGTGGACTTGAAGCCCGGGTTGCAACCGGGTTCGACCCGTTTTGGATAAACGGGGCATCCCAAGGTTTCTTATTTCCAAGAGGGACTTTTGTATACGCGTTTCTTAAAATCGAACGAATTAACTGATTATGAAGCGGAATACCCTCTCTACCAACTGTTCTTACACAAAGTTTATCAAATTCATCTTTGCTTAACTTTAAATTCAAGAATCTATTCAAGTAATCAAAATATTGCTTGGATCTTTCTGGTCCAAGCTTCCTGATTATCTGTTTTTTCAATTCAGCAAGATTGATCCATGAATGCTGCTGTGGTGGTTGCATTTCTCAACACAAGAAACTAAAGCCCCTAATTTAAGAAACTAAATTAGGGTTTTGGTCCATCTACAAAATCTCATTTTCCAGAAGAAATTCAATCTGTTCAACGACAGCCCACATAATGAATAGCCAAAACATATCATGGAAAACCCTAATTAGGTTTTCAGTAGCGAGGAAAGAAGCAAATCATGAGTTACGGTTTCTAACTAACTCTCCCTCCAAAACGAAGTTCCCAAATTATTCAAATTCCAATCCACCAATACATAAACCCTAACCTCAATCGCGTCTACATCACACGAAATTCCTTAATTTTCAAAAAGAGATACCTCCTTCCAACTCCAAGTACAGGCACAAATCAACATATTAGCGATATCCCAATTCCAATAACCTTTCTGAAACTATGAATAGAACTCAAAATGCAACAAATTGATCAAACGATTGACTCCGCAGACTTCCGAAGAGAAAATTCGGTATTTTCATACACAATTGGGAAGCAAGAGGACAGCGATTGGAGAGATTTAAGCTACTAATGAACTTTAACAAGAAATATAAATTGGTAAGCCTGACCTTATTGCATCTCTACCAAAATTGAGATTCAGAAAACCAAAAGTACTGGCTTTCACAATCTTCAAACTCTTTTGATCGTTGGAACCCAAGCTGATTTCAATAGCTTACAATTCTCGCCTCAATTTTATCGGGTTTTTCTTCTTCCTAAAAATTGCTCCGCCGCATTTAGGTTTCGCTGCTGATTTTTCTACCTGTGGCTTTGAATCAGAGCTTGAAGGAGCCCTCGTTGTCTCTCTGATCGCGCTCTCCTCCGATACACTCTCTCTCTTCTCTTTCTCTCTCTACTTTCTCTTTTCGACCTTCTTTCGTTTATGTGTCTGGATTACCAATAGCTTTTTGTTATTACAAACAAGTCCCTTCTCTTTCGATAAATACATATCATCACCCTATTATTTTCTACGAGTCAAGCCCAGGTTTAGGCGGTATATGACTAAACGACGTTAAAAATATATGATTTTGGTAAAAAAAAATTATTTGTGCGTGGTTTAATTTTGACAAAATTACAAAAATGGTTCCTATGTGGTAAAGCATTTTTTTGGGGGTCATTTTGAGCTAGTTTCGTTGTATTTTTGGTCCCTCCCAATAGTGAAATGACTGTAATACCCTTGGGGTATTTATTTTCTATTTTTCTTTCATTTCTTTTTAAATCTAATACTAATTTATTTATTTTAATAATTAAAAAAATAAGAAGGGACCCTCTCTCTCGTCCTTGATTCATCGACGATCACAGTGACTTTTGACCCTCCTCCGCCTTTGCTCCGGTCACACTCCACCACCTTCCACTGCCCTACACCGCCTTCCTTTCCTTCTCCTTGCAACTACTGCTTGCGACCCCACCCCCGACGACAAAACATATTTCATCACTTCACCACCCTCCACAACCTTCCTATCGTCATCTGCAACTCGCTACAACACCCTCGATGACACTACCGCCAACAACAATGAGCGAATACGGGAGA